AAAAACAAAACAAAAAAAAACATGTGAATAAGACAATATTTCGATCTGAAATGAAATGAGCTATCACAAAGAGGAGCTTTCCTTCAGTTATTTCAAGACATGCGACCGCTAAACATTCATTACTGTCAAAGAAATGTATGCAAATCTGTTCTTTGATTTCTTACATCTCATGTCTGATTACAGAGTATTAATTAATAGAATCAAGTCTTATATAGTTATATATTCTTCATCACTTCAAACCAAAACTATTTCTGTACATTTTCTTTTTCAGCCCTGTGCAACCTATTATACTGTTTTTGTACATCAAATCTGCATACTACTACTATTACCACTACTAATATGTATAAAATTAACATCCATTGATACACCTGAATATATATATATATATATATATATATATATATCGGTATGCATCTTCAGCACTATGCCCTGATGGCACTCAAAAATTTTGGGCGCTGCGCCACCTTGTGGTCAAAAGTTATAAAGCAATTTATAAAAATGCTAATAACTTTTGCATACATTATAATATTGTAATGAGACTGAGGTTGATAGATTCCTTGCATCATGCTGAGAACATAGATACCAATTTTGCCATAATTGGCTGAACTTCCTGTCCGCCATTTTGATTCATGTTGAAAACCTACTTTTTCGAACTCCTCCTAGACCGTTAGTCCAATTTTCACCAAATTTGACTCGGATCATCTTCAGACCAAGCTGGCATAAAGTTATGGATTTCGTGTCGATATACAAAACAATTTTTGTTTAGAGCATCAAGAATTTGCTGGTTAAGATGCCAAAATGCATCTGAGGCTGTATCTCTGCAAAGCTTTGACGTATTTGCACCAAACTTTGTATGTGCCATTGTCACCTCACACTGACCACGCCACATCAAATTTGGTAACAGCGTCACCTATTGGTCAAGAGTAATAAACCATTGATTTATTATTAATTATGAAATTTCCAAAAATGCTAATAACTTTTGATTGCATTAGCCTAGGGCTGGACGATATGGCCAAAATTGATATCACGATATATTTCTTAATTTCGGTCGATACGATATAATTCCGATATCGATATGAACACTATTTAT